TTACTGGACTGTGTCTTTGAAGGTGGCCTTTGATGCACCTAACTCCGTTAGAGCCACCACTGCACGTCGCAACTGTATTAGGGCGCAAGCATGAAGTGGATCGCATTGATGGCTTGTGCGAACATCACCACTACCAACACCTCATGTGTAGTTGTTGTCGATGTGGTTACAGCATTTGACAGACGTCAGCCCCTCATTGGTGTTTCGACATGCATTTGGCGGGGAATCCTAGCGTAGCTCGGAACATCCTCCTCTGCCTCAACCCAATTCAAACGCATTCAGCATCTCTGCATCACCAGCTTGCCTTTCACTCCTCCAGCTGTGGACCGCCTCAGAGCGATTTGCTGCCAGCATTGAGCAGGCGTTTACACTTCTCGTGACACTTCACACTGCATTCAGAGCATCGTAGACCCTGCCTTGCCACACCCCACAACAAACCCTCACACTCATAGCAGTTAGTTGGACTGGTGGCGTTGAACACCTCAAAGTTATGCCTTGTATTTTCAGAGATCGAATACGCTAAGGCGTTCAGCGTCTTTCGGTAAACCAACAGCTTCTACAAGGCAAAATCAGATTCAATCTTTGACCTGAATTAGCATCTACTTTGCCCTGATTTAGACGTGTGGATTGAAAATGCGAGGCTTTGGAGTTTGCAAACTGCGTGAAACGGGGAGCGGAGGAAGAGGTCACAACGAACACGTGACTGTGAAGGATCAATCCATTACCCACAAGACCGGCTCCGCTCAAGGTGGTGCTTTGTCCAGTGCTAGCAGGTAGAGCACTGGCCGTTCTTTTCTGAGCAGATATGGTCTAAGAAACAATCTTTGTGGAAATAAACAAGTCAGCGCAAAACTTTAAAGCAAGCAGTAAATATGCAAAGTAGGAGTTACATGAAGCACCAGAAAGAGGAGGAATGGGGAACGAGTGGTAAGGTAAAGAAATGGAGATAAATGCAATTGTTTGCCAACATCGCCCTATTAATTCAGCTCTCAGTGACCTTCTCTAAGTCGAAGCGAATGGAACCTAGGATTGTAGCCATGAAAGTTGTGCGAGCACGTTAGATCAAATCGTGTCAAACGCTACTGATATTGTGGCCGTTTCAACGAAAAGCCGCAGAAGTGGATTAATAATGGTGCGCATCACACGTAGAGAGGTAATTCTGCCCGAATCCAAAACCAGCAGTTAGCAATCACGATCAATTCTGCTTTGCGCCCACTTAAACCAAACATCTCACTAGTGCATGTGGGAAATGTTGATAGGTGATTTTCGTTTGGTTGAGGGTAAACAGCAAAAATAACGAAAACCAGTGATCTCGTTTTCTATCGCGCATTCTTGATGAGATAGTTTTCATTTGATGAAAATCGCTATTGAGATTTCCCCTAGTTTCGTTATTACTTGCCCCATTTGAGTAAAGCTTAAGTTAAGTTCAAAGGTGCTTTTTCCTTAAAAAATAGGGGGATTGTGGACCAATACATGCCACCAGTTTGGCACTTAGGTAAGTAGGCTTTGAACAAGTAAATTGGTTCGTCATTGCCTGAGCATCTAAATCACCATAAAACAGCACCAATTTTGAGCAAAACGCTGCTAAATTCAGACCAAATTTCGCAGTTAATTTGTGTTAAACAGGCTTACTTAAGTCCTGACACATGGTTTACTTTATTTTAGTTAGTTTAGGTCATATGAGTAGTAGATTGGCATGTCCATCGTTGCGCTCACTCCCACTTATTTTTATTCAGCGGTATACATTTAACCAGTATATTTCCAACCGAATAGTTTAGTTAATGACCATTGAACCTACGCAAGTAATGGACCTTGTATATCTCGGATGTTAATTCTAAGACGCTATGATCTGGCCATTAACATATTTGCCTTTTGTGGAAGGTGAGTTGATTTGACTTAGCATTTGCTCATTTGTTGCCACAAATCAAAGGTGATAGTTTTTGCAAATCGACGACAATTTCCTTGACCGCTGTGATTAAGTCACCCATCACGAGGACGTTTTCATCGTTTGCATTTATCGGTATGCTTGAGAGCCGAAAATAAATAAACGTAGAATATGTCTAAGAACTTGCCAGCTTTCAGGTCGGTCGATCTGCTCAAAAACAACCAGTCACCGGTTGTGATTTCATTCATTCATTCATTCATCTATCTACCCAATCACTCACCTAGTTGGAAAATTTGTAAGGCTCAATTTGGCAACCAATTTCAAAGTTGGCCTTACCTATTTTCCAACTTAAAAAGCGACTTCAAGCTCAGCTGCATTATTGTGAATATTGTTAATTTGTAATATGCAAAATTGCACGAACCCCATGGAGTTATGAAGTGAAAGTGCTTTGGGCGGTCATTTTACCCTCTTTTGCCTTACTGGCTAATGGATCAGTCAACAGCCCATGCATTTTGATGCACTAGTCTTCCCTACCCGTTTTCTTTTTGAACGCAAGCAAGCACAACTTATTGCATCACGAAATACGCGTAATAATCTTTCAAGCGCAACGTACCGACTTTTGTTTGCCCTTAACTCACCGCTGGAAAGTTTAGGCTTGATTAAATGCAAAAGAAATTACAGGCTATGAGTTCAACTTGACGTGGTCATATCGGAATGGGCCATGATTTAATG